CATTGTTACAAATGTATAGCGTTATTTCTCTCTCAATATTATTGGCTTACTATGAATGTATGGCAAAATCACCCACTGCATTTCAGGACCACCTCTGCGCTCTAACCCATGTCAGCCCCTTTAGCAAGACCCCTGGTTCAAGAGTAAAGGCAGACTTAGTTTACAGTGGCTAGGTTCTTTAAGACGGTAAACAATGGTATTCTTATTTGCTGGCGTATAAATGCAATGTTAAGCTGATACAGCCTGGCACGAGATCCAGATGTAAAAGAGCTGACAATTCCCTGCACATTGAAGGAGCATGAGGAAAGAAACATATTAAACTTGTGAAGTTCATATAGAAAGATGACAGTTGTGAGATATCTAACCGCCATTATATGTTTGTTTTTTTCAGTCTTTACAAGGGTGAGTTAAATCGGAACTGTTAGCAACAGGTGCAGTTCCCCTTTAAATGCAAAGCTATTTACCAGCACAAACTAAAGGAACTTGATAAAGACCTATTATTGTGGCAAGAGAATTCCAATTCTAGATTTTTGCGCTTTATGTTCTTGTAAGCTCATTGCATCCTGGAAAATTGTATAACGAGTTAGCAGTTGGTTGATGTGCACTCAGAGAGATTGCAGCTCCTTCTGCCCAGGATCATTTTAAACACCAAGAGATTTCTTTGTATATGCAAATGGTAATTTGCATATCTGATGTTTGTTTAGTCACTTGCTTAAGAATTCTTATTGTCCAGCATCTGCCTTTATTGTTTTCATAATTAAGGTAATTCTGCTGTAATCCCTAAATACAGTTCACCAGTAACCAAATTAATGTTCTGTTCTTTATTTTCCGGAGACTTGCTGTGTGTCTCAGACACACTGTGTTGTGTTCCCAGGTGAATCATATATTTTCTATAAAATGAATCTTTTGCCAAGCAACACACATCTTGTTCTTACACGTACATCCTAAAAGGGGTTTCATCCACTGGAATTTTAATTATATTATTTATTATTTTGACATTGGAATAACAATAATATATCACCAGATATATAGTTTCCATTTAGTACAATCTAAAATAGTAATAATGATAATGAGACATTAGCACACTCCTATCATAGTCTGAAAGTAAGGGTTTTTCCTCCAAAATGTCTTTAGAAAAGAGTGAACGCACTCCCTGTGCATATTTTTAGAATAATGATCTAGAACACCTCCAGTTAATCTTTAGATTTGCAGAACTACATAGCTAATGTAGTTTTCATGTACCAGACAGAAACCTCAAAACGATGCCCATTTTGTATTAAGATTCATATTATCAAAACTATCAAAATAAATGTACAGAAGACATTTAGTTGCTCTTTAAGATCTTGTACACCTATGACATTCATGTTATATTTAGAAAGATTTCCGACGTGGTTATACATTTAGTGTTTTTATTTAAAAAAAAAAAAAATACTTAAAAAGCTCAAAAAAGGCTCAACCAATCAGGAAGAAAATGTCCATGAATACAATGTTAAATATTGTAGTTTTATTGGTAAAAGTATATAGCATACATAATGCAATTCAATATAAAAGTACATTGTGTAATGCGCAAATGGGTGCTACTTAAGCAATGATGAACATGTACAATTGAGAGGTACAATGACATAGCACCATTTAGTACATCAGTAGCATACCTTACAAAGATAATCACAGTGGAACGTAAAGAAGTAAAACTATTTAGAAAAAGAAAATTAAGAAAAGCCATCAGATATAAACTATGGGAATGAGCAACTTTACAGTGTAGGTGACCAAATTGAAGTAAAGATTGTTCCTAGGGGGCGCCAAAGGGACATAACTATAATTAAGTTTGGAAACAGACCCAGGAAACCCACACCTAATAGTAATCAGTACAGTGATCCAGTAAAGAGTGTCTGATTACTTCAGTGAAGCAGATAGTATCCACTCTAGAGAACCATTCTGATAATGGAGGAGAATTAGTTTAATCACAATATTTTGGAACCGATGCCTTATCAGAAGTGAGAAAAAAATCGAACTCTAATGCATGGATATATTGTTTCTTAGGTTTAGGGGACAGATGAGAAAAAGATTTCATGAAATTTTAGTGAGTTCCACAATATAATCTGTGATGGTTTTCCCAAAATTTTTGAGAACTGGGCAGTAGAGTTGAGCAAACCCGAACTCTAAAGTTCGGGTTCGTATCGAACATTATGGTTTTTGGACCCCGGACCCGAACATGGACATATCACTGTATGTTCGGGTTGGAGTTCAGTGTTCGGCGATTTAATGGCGGGTTTTGAAAGGCTGCAGGGCAGCCAATCAACAAGCATTTAACTCGTGTGCCCTTAGAAGCCATTACAGCCATGCCTACTAATGGCATGGCTGTGATTCGCCAGTGCAGCAAGTGACCCAGCCTCTCTTTATAAGCTGGAGTCATGTAGCGCCGCACGTCACATGAGCTGTTATTAGTGTAGGGAGAGGATGCTGCAGCTGTGAGGGACAGATTAGGAAAGAATTCTGGTGTTGACTCTGCAATCTACAGCGACTATTTTTGTGGGTGCTACACTACATTTTTGTACCTTGCCCTGAGCCCAGTGCCACAGAGAGTGCAGTGCACTTTCAACTGCATGTGTGCCAGGCACATTACTTTAATCCTGTTCTGGTAGCTCAGTGGGCAACATCTAGGCATTTTTAAATACTGCAATTTTTGTTGGTGCTAAATAGTAAATAGTGAACACTAAATAGTGTGCACTTCAAATCTGAGAGTCAAACAGAACCGTCAAATACTGTGATTACATCGCACTTTGAAAAATAAATTTTCTTTGGTGCTAAATAGTACATTTAGGGTGTGCACTTTATATTTGAGAGTCAAATAGAACCGTCAAATACTGTGGTTACAGCGCAGTTTTAAAAATTCAAAATTTTTGGGGGCTAAATAGTACATTTGGGGTGTGCACTTCATATCTGAGAGTCAAATAGAACCGTCAAATACTGTGGTTACAGCGTAGTTTTAAAAATTCTAATTGTTTACGTGCTAAATAGTACATTTGGTGTGTGCAGTTCATATCTGAGAGTCAAGTAGAACCGTTAAATACTGCTGTGACATAGCAGTTTTAAAAATTCATATTGTTTTGGTGCAAAATAGTACATTTGGGGCCTGCACTTCATATCTGAGAGTCAAATAGAACCATCAAATACCCGCTGTGATATAGCAGTTTTAAAAATTCGAATTGTTTAGGTGCTAAATAGTACATTTGGTGTGTGCACTTCATATCTGAGAGTCAAATAGAACCGTCAAATACTGCTGTGACATAGCAGTTTTAAAAGTTCAATTTTTTTAGGTGCTAAATAGTACATTTGGTGTGTGCACTTCATATCTGAGAGTCAAACAGAACCGTCAAATACTGCTGTGACATAGCAGTTTTAAAAATTCATATTGTTTTTGTGCTAAATATTACATTTGGGGCCTGCACTTCATATCCGAGAGTAAAATAGAACCGTCAAATACTGTGGTTACATCCTAGTTTTAAACATTCACATTTTGTAGGTGCTAAATAGTACATTTGGGGCCTGCACTTCATATCTGAGAGTCAAATAGAACCGTCAAATACTGCTGTGACATTGCAGTTTGACTAATTCACATTTTTTTGGTGCTAAAAGGTAAATTTGTGGCGTGCACTTCATATCTGAGCGTCAAATAGAACCGTCAAATACTGTGGTTACAGAGCAGTTTTAAACATTTATATTTTTTAGGTGCTAAATAGTAAATTTTGGGTGTGTTCTTCATATCTGAGAGTCAAATAGAACCGTAAATACTGCTGTGACATAGCAGTTTTAAAAATTCTAATTCTTTAGGTGCTAAATAGTACATTTGGGGTGTGCACTTCATATCTGGTGTATGTGTGCAACTCTGGCTAGTTACCACTTATCAAGAAAGTCTAAAGAATTTTTTAAAAAGTGAAAAAATAAGTGTCATTGTGATCGCTTCATAAACAGAAGCATTAATATACATTTCTATATTGTGTAAAGACACAACTACAAAGTTAAAAACCAAACACCAAAACAACGTGACAGACAATCTACCTGTGCATGGCTAGTGTGATACAATAAGTCTACATCTTAAAAATGCAATAACCCACAGAAGATGGGTGAGAATATCTTTTTGCAAATGGAACTTTGATTTGAATTTACTACATCGGTCACTTGTAATATTGTTTCACACCTACAACACTTGTTAAACAGATCTCAGTGATAGAAAACAGATTGATATTTTCTGCACTAGAAACTACCAGATAACAAGCTGCTATATTTAAACCAGTTATCAATAGCTAAGAAGTACTTAAACAATATTGTAATTCTGGGGCAATACCCTCACAAGTCAAACTGAGAGGTCAGTTTATAGGGAAAACTGTTGCCTGGATACAATTCTAAAACAATTTCCATATGCCCTTTGCAGACTTTACATACCGGAAAAACACAGGTGCTGTGGCTTTCTGCAGTGTGCAGACCAGCAAGGAGGGCAGGGTTGAGGAGTGGGTGGAAGATGATGTGGAGGATGATGAGGTCCTAGACCACACATGGAATGAAGGTCATGTGAGTGACGTGTGCAGTTTGGAGGAAGAGGTGGTGGTCGCACAGAGGCACCAGCACAGCATATGAGGGAGCAGGGTGCAAAAGCACAGTTATCCAAGTAACAGATGGAGCGATCAAAGGAACCATAACTGATTTAATGAGCCATTCGCAGTTTCACTGTAGCGGCTGTGCGTTTCTGCTTGCCTGTCTGCGCTGCAGCATAACTTCGGCCTTCCCACTCACTGCCTCATAAGCGATGTGCCCACAAGGTGGAACACCACCTCGCACATGCTATAGAGACTGTGCGAGCAGCAGCAGGTGATAGTGGAATTTCAGCTGCAGCACACATGGGTCAGTCGCACTGCACCAGACTTGCTCTCCAATAGATCCTCATTAAAGGATTTAAAGTGTACTCATTCCAATGACAGGGCCTGAAAAGAGTTATTGTTATTTACCTCCCCGCGTCGGGAGTGGGTAATTTGCCTGCCTGCTGCCTTCCTTGGATGTGGTAGATGTTTCTCAGACTCTCTCTCCGGAATCGAACCCTGATTCCCAGTTACCCGTGGTCACCATGGTAGGCGCAGAAAGTAACATCAAAAGTTGATAGGGCAGTCACCTGAATGCGTCGTCGCCGCCACGGTCACCGCCTCCTCAACCTCCTACTCCACATCCACCTCCTCCTCCTAGAGCAGGGTGCAAAAGCGGAGCAGCCGTCCCCTAGACAGTATGCCTGCTACTGCCCACCTCACCCAGGGACCGAGCACACCAAACCCAGCTCCAAGGAGCTGTCTGGCGTGGCAGTTCGAACGAGGAGAACCCAGTCGATTCCTGTGGCACCTCCCAATAGGCAAACAGAAAATGTGGCAGGAATCTCTCTCAGTCCTTGTGAGTCGCCGCAAAGGTACGGAGCATTTGCTTCAACGTACCGTTGAAGCGCTCACACAGGCCATTGGTCTGGGGGTGGTAAGGGGAGCTCAAGATTGGTTTAATGTGCAGAATCTCCACAGTTGGTGGGTCATTTCGGCAGTAAACTGGGTGCCCTGGTCTGAGAGAATCTCCTGAGGAAAACCCATCCGGGAGAACACTCGCATCAAGGCTTCAGCCACAGTCTCTGCCCGAATACTGCTCAGGGTACTGAGTCGCTTAGTCCACGATGGTCAGAATGTACTTCATCCCAGAGGGACTAAGCTTGGCTAGGCGACCTATAATGTCGACAGCTACTCTGCCGAATGCATCTTCACTAATAGGTAGGGCATGGAGGGGGGCCCTGTGCTTCCCCACTCTCTGGCAGACATCTGGCAGTACTGCCTCAGATCCTGAGAGATGCCTGGCCAGAAGAAGCTTTTGGTGAGCCGAGACGCTGTCCGGCTCCTGCCCAAATGCCCTGCCAAAGGGATATGATGAGCTAGTTTCAGCAGCTCATACCAATACCAATACTTCTTGGGTCTGGGGCTGGCATTCTCTCACCAGCCGTGTCATTGGGGAGCCCATTAAAAAAGTGCTCTAGCATGACGAGCTGCGTGATCTCCTCCGGGAACTTGGCTTGAGCCAGTTCTGGGTAGCCCTTGTAATGCGGCATGCCCACTCCGCATGGGAGTCCTTCTCCCCTTTCCGGGTCTCCCTAAACTTTCGGTGGTATTGCTCAGGGGTGACCGCATACCGGGCCAGGAGGATTTGTGTAATAAAGGGATAGTCTCTGATCTGCTCTTCTGGTACAGCACGGTAAATATGGTGACCCAATCGCTGAGGTCCACGTCTTGAAGTAGGCACTGGCGCTCACAGTCTTGTAAGAAGTCATCGATGCCTTCTTCTGCTTCCTTGAACTCTTTGAAGGCATTGTATGGTAGCTTGTGGGCCAGGGTGGTTGTGCTTCCCGGCACCCTCTGCTCCCTTCTTCCTTCATCTGGGTTCATGTAGGTCGCACTCTGTCTATTGACATAGGCTTGCACCTCCAAAAAGGTCCTGCTGACAATCTCCTCTGAGGGTGGCTCTCAGTAATATGCCAGGCGCCGGTCCACCTCCTTGCGCACTTCCTCCTCATCTCCGGACTCTGGCTGGGGTTCGTTGCCTCACTGAGTGCCTGGTCGTCCTCCATGAGCGCAGCAGTCAATTTGGCCTTGTTACGCCTACTATGCATTATTCCTCTGGCTCCACACAAGTCCTGCAGTGTAGGTCACTTTAGAGCACTGTAGTCCATTGGTCTGTTGGCAGGGACATGGGATCCCACCGCTTGCCATCAATTGAAGCGGGACCTGGGTAACCGATGGTTATCTCCTTTGATTAGAATAAGTCAGATATATTTCCCCAGTAACCGGATGGGACACAGTTCCAGGATACAACGTTTGACAATCTTTATTTGGGTACACAGCTTTGCCTCCTGTTGCCTCCTCCTCCTCCGCTTCCTCCTCCTTTACCACCTCCTCATCCGGTCAGCGTAACACCTTCACCACCAACTTCAGCACAGCCAGGGGGAAACGACAGCAGGCGTACTCAGGGGGAAATGACAGCAGGCGAACTCATATGTTTGGGGGAAAAAACCCACACCACGCAGGAGCTGTGGACAGGCATAGAACAACAGACCGATGAGTGGTTGTTGCCCCTGAGCCTCAAGCCCAGCCTGGTGGTGTGCGATAATGGGCGAAATCACGTAGCAGCTCTGGGCCTAGCCAGTTTGATGCACATCCCTTGCCTGGCACATGTGCTGTATTTGGTGGTGCAGAAATTCCTGAAAAACTACCCAGATATATCAGAGCTGCTGCAGAAAGTGCGGGGCGTCTGTGCACACTTTCGGCATTCTCACCCTGCTGCTTGCCTGTCTGCGCTGCAGAGTAACTTCGGCCTTCCCGCTCACCGCCTCATTTGCGACATGCCCACAAGGTGGAACTCCACCTTGCACATGCTGTAGAGACTGTGTGAGCAGCAGCAGGCGATAGTGGAGTTTAACCTGCAGCATGCACGGGTCAGTCGCTCTGCGGAACAGCACCACTTCACCACCAATGAGTGGGCCTCCATGCGAGACATGTGTGCCATGTTGCGCTGTTTCGAGTACTCCACCAACATGGCCAGTGCTGATCACGCCATTCTTAGCCCGCTTCTATGTCTCCTTGAAAAAACGCTTTGGGCGATGATGGAAGAGGATGTGGCACAGGAGGAAGAGGAGGAGGAAGAGGGGTAATTTCCACAGTTATCAGGCCAGTCATTCACAAGTGCACCAGCATAGGCCAGGTACACAATTGTCCAGCATCTCCACACTGTCCCATGGAAGCATTCAGCTGTCCATCTCCCAAACACTGGAGAGACACTTAGAAACAGCACTTTGAAGTAGCACCAAGCTATATTAGACAAGCTAATGACACCAGGCCTTATATAACTCCTAAAATCACCGCCCACTAGGAATGTTTAACACCTGGGTAGGCCTCTGCTTATTTGAAAACAATAGCTAATTAACCAGCAATCAACAGCAAGTAACTAGCTTAATCAAATCAAATGCCTTATAATTACCAACAGGAATTCAAACCTTGTGCAATCAGTAACCTTTTCCTACAGATGAATCTTACCTGTAACAGTAGAAAAGAAAGCTCTTAGCACAACTCTTAGACAGTTGAAGCTTCTGTAAAACTCTCCAGAATATCTCCAACTACACACTTAGAAACAGCACTTTGAAGTAGCACCAAGCTATATTAGACAAGCTAATGACACCAGGCCTTATATAACTCCTAAAATCACCGCCCACTAGGAATGTTTAACACCTGGGTAGGCCTCTGCTTATTTGCAAACAATAGCTAATTAACCAGCAATCAATAGCAAGTAACTAGCTTAATCAAATCAAATGCCTTATAATTATCAACAGGAATTCAAACCTTGTGCAATCAGTAACCTTTTCCTACAGATGAATCTTACCTGTAACAGTAGAAAAGAAAGCTCTTAGCACAACTCTTAGACAGTTGAAGCTTCTGTAAAACTCTCCAGAATATCTCCAACTACACACTTAGAAACAGCACTTTGAAGTAGCACCAACCTCCACACTGTCCCATGGAAGCATTCAGCTATCCATCTCCCAAACACTGGAGAGAAAGAGGAAGACCCGCGATCCCTGGCTCTGAATGCCAGCATTTCAAAATTCCTGGCCTTTGAAATGCTGTCATTCCGTCTGGTGGAGACAGACAGTTTTAAATACCTGATGACGTTATTGGACTGCAAGAAATGCACCGCAGGCCGCAAATGTTTCTTTTTTGATATGTCCCAATATTTGGGGGGCTACTCCAATTAAAAACAAAACAAACAAACAAATAAAAAACAGTGTTGACTACTTCCTCCTCCTCCACCACCGCTTCCACCTACACCACCACCGTCACCACCTCCTCAACCTATGGGTCACTTAGTATAAACTATGTACAAAATAGCAGAGGCTTGTGAAGGCTTTTTCTCCATGCATCAGGAGTTGAGCTCAGTTTGAACAATGAAAGAGAATACCTTGCACTCCAACCCTCTCTCAAATGGATAATTCTGGTGATCCTCCTGACAGCCATGCTTTAGATTTTGATTTATGTTCTTCCAAAGCTAAAATCAAAGATTCCATCTAGTGCTATTTTATGGCTCAGCTGTATTTTTAATTTGTATGTTATTTTAAGTGATTTCCCTATCCACATTTGTTTGCAGACCAATTAATAACTTCCATGCATATAAAGGATTATTAATAAACTTGATAAAAAATATATATTTTGCCTGTTTATAAATCAATAATAAGAACTGTGAAGGAATAACACATCACTGTTCGGCTATTTCTGTTTGTTTGGATTCATGTCCCAGTTTGTTTAATTTATTTTGTTCGGTTACCGAGACCACCCCAGAGACCCATTAGAACGTGGAACGTTATTTATCTTGTACGAGAACCGCAAAGGAAATAATTTATGGAATGCTTCACTGGGTGGCCGCCGTTTCGTACGTGGTTGGGACAATGGATGGCAGCCATCTTGTCTCCCAAACGCTGGCAGTGGGATCTGGTCATCAAGTGCCTGGAACTCCTTTCGGCCAGGCACTCCCACGAACACCGGTCCCCATGGATCTACAGTCCATTCTACTTCACATTCATTAGACAAACGGCGTTCGGGAGATTCAGAATACTGAACACAGGGAGCATTCTCCACAAACCAGCTTTCCTATATTTTATGTGGTTTTCATACAAAACCTCATGAATGGGGACCGGCTCTTGCCACAATTTCCATGGAACTATTTTGGGCTTCTACCTCGTGGCAGACCGGTCAGAACTTCCCTGCAATGGCGAACAAAATCTACCAAACAGATCTGGGTGATTTTTGGATATATTGTTCACCCAAATCCAAGCTATCCAGTGATGTGACTTTGTGGGGTTCCTATGTATTTTGGGGGTACTTTTGGGGTGTTGTAATATTGTTTGTTTTTCTGTGCCTGGAGATAATTGAGTTTGTACAGTTCCTGATTCAATAATCTCACAGGCACAGAGGAGGAGTTTACTGACTGCTAATAAACAGTCTTCTCCCAGCATTAAGCCTTGGCTCATGTTTGGGGGTTATGTAAAACCGGCGATATTATACCTTGTGGATTATAGGCGTGTAACTATGGGAAAAGGGTATCCATGGTGGTAATACCTTGACAGACCGCCACAAGAACTGCTTGAATATTTGGCACAATTTTTAGCACCAAAGAATGATATTATGGAACT